ATTCCACCATTGAGCTAACCATTCCCCCTGATTGGAATCATTCTGCTAACTGAATCCTTGACATTAGTACTGATTTTATCAGTTCCAGCATACACCCTGTAAGGACAATGTCCACCACCTCAATACACATGTATTCAAAGTACTTGGGAGATAGAAAATCACATATTTCAGTAGTATTCTCTCCGCCCAGAAAATAATGCAATTCTAGCACACTACCAAGTTAAACTACCTTGAGTTTGACTAATTTGGTTAAAACTTTAGATACTTCAATAAAGAATGCACCTTGAATTGCATTCTTTTTGAGACGGAGGTAGTCTCAATTTTGGGTTACGTATGACCCAACTAAAATAAATGTTCTCCATTTTTTACTTCCACCATGCCAAGCATGAGTCCATGTGGGTACTTTGTGCTAATTTTGCTCTCATATTGACATTTTCATTCAGGTCCCCAACATTATTTGGTGTTCCAAAGGTCGTCACACCCCCTCCGGTGGTCAAGGACATATGTAGTGATCAGCACACTAAAGCTGATTCCTCGATTCCTCAACCATCAAAGCCTCAGGAACCTTCCACTAGCACTCCTAGTGTCCGGGAGGTCTTACCTACCTCTGGACCCACTAAAGATGCTGATAATATATCTAACTGCAGCGAAAGAAGGAATGTGGTCAAAATTAGGGTGAAGCTTACTGCGTCTTCCAGTAAAGCATCTGATGCTGACCACAGAGGCCATTCTCATGGTGGAAGAAATGAAAATGAACTGGGTCCATGTAGCTCAATGTCTGTGGATGCCCCCATGGTTGGGGCAGCAAATGAACCATTAAATGTAAGCAATCATAACATTGAGGAACAGAACTCATGTCATGACCGTGAATCAAGGATGTCGGCAAGCATTAGCAATGTTAAGCTAATGGACAGGCATGAGATTTCCAAGGAACTACAGTGTACTGCTGATTCAAGGCTGGATGCTCTTCCCAAGGATCAGTTCTCTCCTGCCATTAATCCGCCAGAAGTTTTAGACAAGCCTGGCAGTCAGCTTGAAGGTGTCTCCACCAGCTATGATGGAAACCAAGCTCCAGAATCTGTGAATGGTGTGGAAACGAAAGAGAGAAAGAAAAAAGACAAGAAAGATAAAAAGCGGAAACGTGATGAAAAACGAGATAAGAAAGATGACCCAGAGTATCTAGAGAAAAAGCGACTTAAGAAGGAGAAGAAGAAAATGGAGAAAGAGTTGGCCAGAAAGCAGCTAGAAGGTGAAGGAAGAGCTACCCCTGAACAGCGGAAAACAGTGAAACCTTCAGGTTCACAGGAAGTTTTGCCTGCAAGGCCACCAGCTCCAGTGCTAAGTGCTGAACCAGCTCCTGCTCGGAGCTCTGAACCTCAGGTATCAAGCAAGGAAACAACTGTAGATACTGCACGTACAGCATCCAAACCAAGGATAAAGATCAGAGTCAAGCCCTTGGTAAGAAAACCTGAAGGGAACTAAAAAAGATTGTAGAATTGTGGCCAGGCTGCCACCATTTGTAAGGATTACTGTACAGCAGGAAAAAATGTGGGTATGTTGTACCATGGGTAGCCAGTTTTTTTCGTGAATGGCTGATGTATCCTGTAAAAAAAACATTGCTCTGCCCTAGTAATTTCTGGGGTAATTGAAATCTGAGTTCTAGGGTAGTCCATGTTCTGTGCTTCTGTTGCTTTATCATCTCAGCACTTGTTGTCTCACAGGTTTGTAGTGTTTGTTCGATTTGCTGGGTCTAAAACTAAAAGTGAAGGATCACTGTGCTCAATTTGTAGCTGTTGATGTGTTCATTTCAGATTTGAGAAGGCTTGATGGAATTAACTGCTGAGTTTGCGCCAACATTCTTTCTCTTTGCTGTGCTCTATCCCATAGCAAGTGCTAATGTTTAAGCTTGTTACACTGGTTCTTCGTCTTTTCCGCAGATTTTGCTGATGAGGTCACTACTGAGTGCGTGCTGATCAGCTGTTATGTTCTCTTTGCTCTGCATTGCAACAGGTGATCTATGCTGGTTGCAGCGTCCACATCACGATATAACATTGATCTGTAAGATTTGGAAACCTCGTTGGAACTGATCCTTTCTTTTCAGCTGCAAAAAAAAACTTAACTGTCTGATGACGCTGGCCGTGCCAGCCTTGCTCCTTGTTTGCCCCTATAATCGGAGGATTAAAGTACAATCCTTTGCATATTCTGAGAACAAGATATGAGGACTCGTTGAATTCTTCCTCAATCCACCGAGCATTTGTTCTTCTATAATGAGACACACAAAGTTGCAATAGTCGTTGTCCCGCTTTGCCAAATGCCAATAGGATTCCATGTCATTTCTTTAGGCTGTTCGGTGTTATAACATCTTACCATATTAAAAAATTGAGTACTAAAAACCTGAATTTGGACCCTTTTCTCCGTACATGAGGAGCCGTCACAACTTGCAACTGAGGTTGGCCATCTTTGGCACCCTATCTCGCACATAAAACCTTCAAAACAAAATCTTTATTACCAGCTCTATCTTTGAGTATTATGTATTTTTAATCTGAAAATAGTGGCTGCAATTTTGGTACACCTTCCAGGCAATGGCGACCATCAGGGCATGGCCCGCTGCTGAGCGAACAGCAATCGCTCATCGTGAAGGCTGCCCTCCGCGGTGACCGTGGAAACTCAAATCATCCCCATTACCGTAACTCACACCCACCATGAATCTCCAAAGTAGAATCCCCATAATGTGTTCTACTTCCTCCATCCATAATGCAAAATTAGTATCATTAAATTAGTCATAGAATATATTTTCATAATAGATTTATTTGGAGACATAAATATTAATACTATTTGCTATAAACTTGATCAAACTTGAGCTACTTTGACCGGCATGAATCCCATAATTGCATTGTTTTCTGGATGGAGGGAGTATCTCTCAGTATTATCATATGTGAAAACAGTGGTTGAAGATCTAACTCCAGCGAACTTCCAAGCGGCGATAGCGGTGGTACCTGGAGACGACGTTGCCTTGTTCGCTTGAACTACTTCAACAGTACTTTTCAGCGAACCAATAGTATTTTCCTCTCACAGCAAATCAGCATAAGCCAAATTTCAGCGAAACGAACAGGGGTGCAAGGGCACCAACACCAATAAATAGTATTGGTTGTCTGCGTATCTTGCATGTGGATGTCTTCATTTTGAGTTAGGATCATGCTAAAAAAATCGAGTTAGGATAAGTAATTGTTGAAGTGGATTTCTTTAAATCATGCAAAAAACAAGATTAGGAGTGTGTTTACCAAATTGTTGGAGACGCTCTCAAACTCTCGAACCGAGAGGGCTTCTTCATTTAGAGCAATGCCATGAAAAGGTAGAGCATCTCCAAGAGCTTATTAGAATTAGAATAACTCTTTAATTTTTTTTCTAGTAAAAAGATAACCATCCAATAGTTTTGTTTTTCAACTCTTTAAAGATCATTAATTGACAAATTCCTCTCCAAGCTAAGCTAGGCGGTGGGTTTGATTCCTTTTGCTTGTAACCAAATAATGCAGGCTATCATATAAAGAAAAAAATTAACTCCCTAGTCAACCTCTGCACTTGTATAATCCATGATTTGACAAGTCTATTTTATGGAGCTCCTTGAGATGTGAGAGAAGAAAATGAAGAATACAGATGGGTCATCAACATCTAAGAGAATCTCCAAAAGTTTCTTAAAACAACTCTCTAATTCACTTTTTTTTTTGCAAAAACAAGAGAGGAGTCCTCCAACAAATTTTAAATAAGTTAAATCTCTCTATCTATTTCTAGATATGGACTTGCTATTCGTCCAAGCACCACCTCTCGTGTGGTTTTTACATGGTTTTTTTTTTCCTCCACTCGGTTTTCAAGTTTTAGGAAGCTTATCCCTTCCAATTTTTAAGTTTTAGCAAGCTAACTATTAAAAGCTACTCCATCCGTTCCATTTTATCTGGTGTAAGTTAGAATGTCACGGTCTCCTAGATTACACTTTGACCATTCATTTGCGTTATATTATATTATTTATGCTTATAAACTTATAATCATTGGATAGTATAATTCCTTATAAATCTAATCATATAAAGTTTGTATTATAATAGTTAAAAATTGTTAGCCTAATTATTGGTTAAAGTTTTAAAGTTTGAATCTTTGAATATTAATATGTGCTGCGCCAGATAAAATAGAACAAAGGTAGTATTGAAGAAGGCAAGAATATAGTTCCGTAATTTTATTTTATTCAAATAATCATTTGTTTATCAAGTGATTTTTAAATAGCTTTTAGACATACTCTAAGCACCTAGCATTCGAAGCATGCTATCTTTATCATAAAAAACCGAGAGAACGGGCAGGAAAAATGGCGATCTTAGATCAACTTTAGAAAATAGGGTCCTGTTTAGGATTTGAGAGCTTCCAGTACTTTTAAGGGCCCTGTCTTTTAGCCCAAATCAGCGCACCTATTTTCTAGGAGCCACTGGTCAGCTACATAGCTTTTATTCTTTTTATTTCTACTCACATCTTGGTCTCTTCTGCACCCCATGCTTTTACAGAAAATAGGGCAAAACAACTCCACAAATAGAGTTATTTGAAAAAGCTCTTACAGAACCCTATGTAGGATGAGGTGAAGTTGGGGTAAAGCTATTGTTTTTTTGCTCCATCCCACTTGAAACCTCTGTAAGAGCATGATTTATGGGGTTTTCTAGATAAAACCATTTTATTTTATCTCGTTTAGCACAAAACGGATTAAACAACTTCTAAAGCCGATAGAGAAGTCGTGCCAAATATAAGACTAACTCACAAGGACATGGAGAAGAGTTTTTGAGTCGTTCCAAACAGCCTACAGAAGGGCAGTAGGATCTTGTAGCCGTGGGCCCAGTCTGACAGTTACAAGATAGAGAGCCCAACGGACACCACATCACCCGAAAAGCCGAAACGAGCGGGGAGAAACGAGGCAACGGCCCACCGTCAGATCACACGCACTCCTCACACGCGCACATCGCACGTTCATGGTACGGGGAGTAACCGGCGACGCCGCGGGAAGTAGCGCCGCCGAGCGGGGGAGGGGGGCAGCCGCGCCACCGCAGTCTGCAACGTGGCAGCGGGTGCGGAGGGCCGGGCAGGGGGCGGCGGCGCACGCGCTGCTACTCTGCTTCACCGCGCTCCTCGCGCTCAAGCTCGACGGCGTCCTCTCGCTCTCCTGGTGGTAAGCTGTAATCATGTACTCCTGCCCAGCAATCTAATCCATATGTGGGACTTTGCTAGCGCAAATGTTAGCGGCGACCCGCGTTTCGCTGGGCCGAGGGCCGTACCGGTTCGCTCGGAGAAAATGTGTAATCGTTTGGGGTATCTAGTCTCATGTAGCCATGGAGGTTGTGAAACTTAGAGAGGGAACGGGAGGTGGATGGTGCGGGCATCCTAATTTATCACGCAGCCTTTTCATTTGCGACATAGGAAATGATGCGTTGGTGATTTGACAAATTGCACCTGCAACTGAGTCACTGAATGAGGGGATTCTGAAATTCCTTCTGGGTAAATGAATTGGAAATTGGCTCTTGCATCCTGCCCTGAGTCGGGGTATGAAGAGACCTTCCATGATTGGAAATTTATAGGCTGTTTGGTTTGAGGAATGAGTTACTCATTCCTGACTTTTTTTGTGTTTGGTCTGTGAAATGGAATGGGTTGATGCATCATCACATCATTCTTCACAAGCTAATAATTAGTACTAGTACGGGGAATGGAGTCATTCCACCAAATTTGAAGAATGGACTCATGATGCACCACCTCATCTAGGATGGAGTGACTCCTCAAACCAAACAATCTATTAGTTGTTTACCAGCCAAGAATTGCTTTGTACATTTGGTTTAACGATTAAGGTGCTGAGATTTTAGGTGACAGTAACTTCGGCAGACACAGTTTCATTACTTTCCTCAAACCAAAAGAAAACGTGAGGGATGAGAAGGTTATGGATCACCCCATCTCTCAAACCAAACGCCCCATTAGTCTTGTGCGTGCAACTTGATGAAGAATCTGCAGACATGAATGTTGCAGGGTATGTCATAAAATTGCTAGAAACACTGAAACAGGTACAACACACATTTGATGTCAGTCTTTCATGTCTCAATATTGGAATTCTCAAAATAAGTACCAACACTGCAGGGTGCTTTTCATCCCTGTTTGGTTGTTCCATGCTGTTGCTGCTCGATTTCTATTCTCGTTACTGGCTCCATCATCACCTGAAAGTTGTCAAGTGTGTTTTCTACTTTTGCTTTCAAAGTCAATACCTTGTTTCTGAAGTTGGCTAGAAGCAGGTTAATTAGATCATTCAACTGTGCAGCGGGTTCCATTCCATTCCATTGTTGCAACACCATTGCTAGTTGCTTTTGAGCTGCTTCTCTGTGTTTATCTGGAAGGCCTCAACCACAATGGTGAATCCATCATGTACTGTGATTTATCACTTGTTTGTTTGTTTTCATTCTGAGTTGATTGTTTTTCACTTGCTGGCTCAATTGTTCGTTTTTCATGTCATGTGGAACCTTTCATAGATTGAAAGCTTTTGTTTCTTCCCCTCTTGGCTTTAGAAATCATTACACTGGTTGACAACTTCAGGTAATCACATAAAACAAGTGGAAAAGTGCAAATTGCTTATACCAATAATAAGCACTACATGACAACTTTTTGTCATATAATCATTTTATAGTTCCCCTTCTACTTTTTCTACATCAATAATCTAACCTATACAGTGTCATCCCAATCTGTAAGAAATTCTTCATATTCTGGAAATATAGCCTTTTCGTAATATATAAGGATCATGGTAATAGTCAGCGACCATTTTTCACTAGTAAGTTCAAATTTGTTGCTAGGATTTTTGTATACAAGAGTAATTACCAGAAAATTTTGCTATGGTGTGAACAATGAACCAGGCATTTGAGGTGAACATTTATTGTTTGTCATTTGACAGGTCATGCAAAGAATAATGTAAAAGACATACCTATTAGTTCATGCTTATTTGCACAATTTGTTTACTATTCCTTACTCTTTTTTGTTCTCATTAGGATGTGTGGTGCTTTAATGCCTGGACATGGAGAAACTATAACCGACGAAGCAATTTGGGAGAGGCTTCCTGTAAGACTTTTAAGACTTGCACCTGTAGCCCCTGAACGTTCAGTTTGTGGTAATCTGTTCTTCCAACAAGAACAAGAACAAGAAACAAGAACAAGAACAAGAACAAGAACAAGAACAAGAACAAGAACAAGAACAAAGCCTTTTAATCCCAAACAAGTTGGGGTAGGCTAGAGTTGAAACCCAACATGAGTCACCAACAAAAAGGGAAAAGAAAGATAAAAGAAAATAATATAGTAATATTATTATAGGGGATCTAAAGGCTCTTCATGATCAGGCATGTGAATAGCTTCTTTACCTCTTCTTACATTATTGCCACACCTTAGGATTCCACTATGCATCAGTGCCTTTGGAGGTCTCCATTGGACATGTTCAAACCATTTGACTAGTCCTGGACAAGCTTTTCTTCAATTAATGCTAAAACCATTCAGTTAAGTCTTATCCAGGAGTCTTTATGACAGAAGTTGCTATCTCCAGTTTTTTTCCGTTTTAGTTCTAGCAACCAAATTTATGAAATACTAATATCTAATAATTGCGATTGTTTCTCTTAGTGGCATTGGAATATGGAGCTCTAATCAACCATTCATTTTATATTAGCATTATTTTGATTGATGTTTTATATTAAGGACCAGTTTGTGTCCTATTTTGTTTTGACTTTCTTGAATCTAGTTAGTTATGTGAATCTTTATCAATGCTAGTGCCACCATGCTGTCTGGCTCCAAAAAGTATATTTATGAAATGGCTATTGTATTCAAACATAGCAGTTGAATCTTGAAAGAACTAAAGTGTCAATGGATATCATACAGTACAACTACAGAATTTAGGAGAATGTAAGCAGCGGCAGAGCTTCAGTGAGGCCAGCATGGGCCATGCCGCCCCACGTCCTTCCTCCCTCAGTTTTTGCAAACTCCATTAGATGTATACATTGTTAGATAGCAAAGCTTTGGGAAAAATCAATCTATCTATTGCTCTTCCATTGAATGTAAGGCTACAGTTTTCTTTCTCCAAGCATTTTTTTTAACCCATGACTTGTTAGAGGTAGCACATTTGCAAATTGCAACAATGTGCCATTTGATCTGTTTTTATAATTTTTTACTGCATGATTCAACATGAAATTATATAACCATGTGTATATTGGATACCAGCAATAGGCAATAGCTATGCCTATATATGAATGATGCATTCCTTGAGACCTTTAATTAATGTAGATGTAGATGACTAGATGCCTTATATGCAGACTAAAGCTATAACTATTACTAACAACTTCATCTTTTCATAGTACTTCTGGGTTGCAATTTCCATGGTATTTCTACTTGCGGCTACTTCACTCATGTTTCTGAAGTTATGTGGTAAGCTATATGAATATTATTGAGTTCAGAGCTGCTTTTCAGAAGTTCCAAAGTGAATGATGTGACTTGGTCTTTCTTTTCTCTTTTGCCTGAATGGCCTGAAAATTATATAGCTTACTTATTATCTTTTGCTGGAGTACTACAGAAAATTCTTGAGGATCCACTTGTTTATATTTTATTTTATGCCCTGTTAGAAATAACAAACGTTCCATGCAAGACTCATAGTGCTAACTAGTACACTGGTATGTTTTGACTTCTTAAGTGACAGTTAAACTGTATGCACCAGGTGATGCAGTTACTCTGGGGTGGTGGGATTTATTAATTAATTTTGGGTAAATACTTTTTCTCCATTTCAAATCATGCTTGTAATCCCTTTGGACAGTTCTTATTAATTACTTGACATCTTTACAGGATTTCCCAGTGCTTTGCTTTTCTAGCATGCACAAGATGGTCAAATCCAATGGTCGGTAGACATTCAATCGTTTATAACAATAAATTCAATCTTACATGGACAGAGTGCATTCGGAACAGCAGTGTTCCATTTTTATCCAAAAAGAATGCTGACATAGGCTAACTGTATGGTCTGCAGGACATTGGAGGTCCTGTATTGATAATTCCTATAGTAGTTTTTCAAGTTCTTCTTTGTATGCGCTTAGAGGTCTGTTCTCAGCTCCATTTCCAGATGCTTTATTTTCTTTTAATAAATACAGACTGTCTACTTTTCTCTGTTGTTATTTGGACATTGATAACTTGCACCTATTGCTGTATGTGTAGTGTATATAGACATTGTACCTTTTGACTTTTGAGCTGTCATATCCTTGTCTTGTGCATATTTCAGCTGTCTTTTTCTGTGAAAGAAACATTTTGAGTCAAGTCTTGGAGCTGCCTTTCATCACTGCCACACAGATTATAATTGTGTGCTAAATTACTAAGTATCATACTTCTTTTTGAACCCAAATATGGTTTTGAATGTCTCAGTACAAGCTTGCTGCACATGTTGTCTGTGAATGCTAAACCGTACATCCATGAAACTCTTGCTTGTGTGCATTGCTAGTCTGAGTACCATTTGTATCTGATTGCAGGGCACTCCATCTAATGCACGTTTTATCCCAATTCGAGCTATTTTTCTACCCATAATTTTGCTGCAAGTGGCTGCTGTATCTTTTGCTGTTTGGAGATTCTTCAACAGGCTTCTTACTAAACTTAAAGATGGAACTATCAGTCAAGCACATATTTCTGTGTCCTCCAAAGTTGATGAGCTATTTATGATGATACAATATGGTTCAAGGTTATTTGCTATGTAGCATTACTCTATGATCTCTGTTCAAATTGCATACCTACTGTAGGGGTTGTAGTTGGAATTCTCAGTTTATTAATCTTTTTCCTGATCAGGCTCCTTCACTGGTGGTCTATTGATGAAGATAGCAAAGAGGAACAGGCTCACTTATGCTATGCAAATAATATTGGGTATCCATTTCAGAATTCTGTTTAGTCGTATAGAGCATAGATATTAGACATATTCATGGCATGTGTTGTTGCCTTAAAAAATCATGATGTATGTGGATATTTTGGATGAGGGTTATACTCACTGAGCACTTTAGTTGGATCCTAATCATGATGCTACTTTTTGTATATGCCATGCATCATTGCAATCTAAATATATTAAAAACAGTAGTCTATGGATAAATTTGTAGACAACATATTTTTTGTTGTGACATGCTGCGTGGCTGCGTGGAGCTCACCATCTCAGCTTAAACATAAAGTGGCATATTGGTATGTGTTCCACTATTTTTTGTTTGCTTGGAGAGGGGGTAGAGGGGGTTGCAGGATTAGGATTGAGCATCATGGTCTCATGGGGGGAGGAGACAGATTTTTTACTTGCAGAGAGAAGAAAGAAAAGGAAGACAAGATCATTGTTTGAAAGATGTACTGTATAATTTAAAGCCCATACATAAATGTAAATTACATATGGGAGATCCCGCCTATGGTTAGGTGGCCCAAGATGTAGAAAGATAACTAAGAAGATTTCTTATGCTAATTGCTTTATTGAGTAGAGCTAATAGTGACACTTTTGAAGTTACAAATCGGTGTAAAGCCACTGTTTGATACTTCATCAGAGGGAGGGAAGGGGGGAGTTACTTCATATGCATTCTAAATGCTTTTGGGTAGCTTAACACTTTCAATGACTAATCTCTTGTTTTGTTATCTGCAGCTATAGTACTTTTTGCAGTTATCCACCAGAGGTGGTAAAAGAGATGCCAAAGGAAGTTCTTGTCAAAGAGGTTATTTTTTCATACTTCTTGTAACAGCATCCTTGTTTATATGGAGCTAATAAATCATTTGTCCTCTTCTAGGTACAGAGACTTCAACTGACCTTGGAAGAGCAAACTGAAATGGCAAATCATAGCCAACAGCAGTGTGATAGGCTAAGAAATGTACTACCTGCTATTAGAACCAAAACACAGGTTTGGGGCTGAATTTCAGATTTCATTAGCCATACCACAACTATGGCAGGTTGGGGATACATATAGGATAGCTTGCTTGAGCCTTAAGAAAGCTACAACATATTCTAGAGATGCTAAAGTATATGCTAGGGATAAAGGTAAGGGCTGACACAGCCATCAACTACTCTAGATAAGTATCCTAAGTAGATAAGGACAAGACTTATAGCTGTCATTCTCCCCCTAAGTCTTGTGTGGCGTCTTCTGGGTTATTTGAACCATCCCAATCCTGGCGCGAAGCTTCTGGAACTTGACCCGCCCAAGGGACTTGGTGAGAAGATCGGCGAGCTAATCTTGGGTGTTGATGTAGCCGGCCTTGATGCTCCCCTCATCCAAAAAGCTCCTGATGAAGTGGTATTTGATGCGGATATGCTTGCTGCGCTCATGGAAGACAGGGTTCTTCGCCAAAGCCAAGGCGGACTTGCTGTCCACCCTGAGCTCCACTGCTTCTGCGTCCCTACCCAGGAGATCGCCTAGCAGCCAAGCCAACCAGAGAGCTTGAGTCGAAGCGGTTGTGGCAGTGATGTACTCCGCCTCGCAACTGGACAGAGCCACCACTTGCTGCTTGACCGACTGCCAGCTGATTAGACACTTGCCGAGGAAGAATAGCGTCCCGCTCGTGCTCTTGCTTGTGTCGATGTCGCCAGCGAGGTCGCTGTCGCTGTACCCGATGAAGTGCTCCGCACCGGGACACCTCCGATAGTGCAAGCCGTAGTCGGAAGTTCCCGCGACGTAGCGGAGGATCCTCTTGACGGCCTGCTCGTGCTCCGTCGTCGGTCGCTGCATGAACCAACTGACGTAGCCAACAGCGAACGTCAGGTCAGGCCGTGCGTGGACGAGGTAGCGAAGACTGCCCACAAAGTACCGCGTGGCGTCGACCTCCTTCGCCGTGCTGTCGCGGCTCAGCTTCAGGCTCTCCTCCATGGGAGTGTGTGCTGGGTTGCAGCCGGTGAGCCCGCCCAACTCGACGATGCGCTTGGCATAGACGGTCTGGCGAAGGGAGATGCCGGAGTTGTCCTGGTGGACCTCGATCCCCAGGTAGAAGGAGAGAGGGCCCAAATCGCTCATCTGAAAGGTCGCCTTCATCTCCTCCTTGAATAACTCCACCTCGGCCTCTTTGAATAACTCCACCTCGGCCTCCTTGGTGCCGGTGATCACCAAGTCGTCGACGTAGACGCCTACCAACAGGGCATTGCCTCCCTTGCCCCGCCGGTAGACTGCAGCCTCGTGAGGACTTTGTTGGAACCCCATTTGCTTGAGAGTGGAGTCTAGCTTGGCGTTCCAAGCTCGGGGTGCCTGCCGCAAGCCGTAGAGGGCCTTGTGTAGGCGAAGAACCTTGTTCTCCTTGCCGGGGTCCGGGGATGACGAATCCCGGCGGCTGGTGGACGTAGACCTCTTCCTTCAGGTCACCGTTGAGGAAGGCGGACTTGACGTCCATGTGGTGCACACGCCAACCCTCCTAGGCCGCTAGTGCGAGGAGGAGACGAACAGACTCCATCCGCACAACGGGCGCGAAGGCGTCGTCGAAGTCGACTCCCTCCTGCTGGACGAACCCGCGCGCCACCAGACACGCCTTGTGCTTGATCACCGCCCCGGCCTCATCCTTCTTGAGCTTGTAGACCCACTTAAGGGTGATGGCGCAGTGGCCAGCATGAAGATCCGCCAGCTCCCACGTCCGGTTCCGCTCGACCGTGTCCATCTCCTGCTGCATCGCGGCGCGCCTTGCCACGTCTCCCTCTGCCTCAGCGAAGGAGCGGGGCTCGCCGTCCTCATGCGCCAGGTGCAGCTCCGCCTCGAAGTCGTGCACCGCCAGTCCATGGACAGACTGATCACCGAAGATGTCCAAGGTGCGGTAGCGCAGAGGCTCGTCGTCGTGGTAGGCATCGATGCGATCCTCGTCGTCGGACAGCGGAGTGGCGAACTCCACCGTGCGCTGCTCGTCACGGACCAAGGCTGCTGGTGCCGATCTCGGAGGTGTGGGCGCCGATGTAGGAGATTGGGGAGCCGGTGTAGGAGAGCGGGGCGTAGCCGGTGGTACAGGTGGTGGAGGACTTGCTGGTGGTGTAGGTGGTGGAGTACTCGCCGGAGCTGATGGCGAGCCGGGTGCTGAGGTAGACGAGCTCGGTGAAGATGAGTTGCTAGCTCCCCCGGCTCCCTCGAAGTGGACGTAGTCGACGACGAAGTCTCTGAGAGTCGAAGTCGAGCCGTCGTCCACCGCCTTGTCCCAAGCCCAGCCTCGCCCTTCGTCGAACACGACATCCCGGGAGATGCGGACGCGCTGTGTTGCAGGGTCGAGGATGCGGTAGGCCTTGACGCCTTCCGCGTAGCCGATGAAGACCCCTGGCGTGCTCCAGTCGTCGAGCTTGCCGAAGTGGTTGAGCTCCTTGGCGAAGGCGAGACAGACGAAGACGCGGAGGTGGCTCACCACCGGCTTACGCCTGTGCCAGGCCTCGTACGGCGTCTTGCCGTCAAGAGCCTTGGTGGGCGAGCGGTTGAGGAGATGGACGGCAGTCATCACCGCCTCCCCCCAGTAGATTGCCAGCATCCCTCTCTGCTTGAGGGCGCGGGCGGTGGCCAACACCGTCTGGTTGCGGCGCTCAACGACGCCGTTCTACTACGGGGTGTATGGCGCGGAGAAGTGGCGCTGGATCCCCTCGTCGGCGCAGTATGCCACGAACTCAGCCGCCGTTGTCGGTGCGTAGCACCCGAAGCTTGCGGCCGCACTCCTCCGCAGCAGCTTGATGGCGCTTGATGGTGTCCGCAGCCGCCGCCTTGGTGTCGAGCAGGACCGCCCATATGAAGTGGGACACGTCGTCGACGAGGAGCAGGAAGAAGCGTCGGCCTCCAGGTGTGGCCGGTGTCACGGGGCCGCAGAGGTCACCGTGCACGAGCTCCAGCTTCTCCTTGGCGCGGAAGCTCGCTTGGCGGGGAAAGGGGAGCCTCCGCTGCTTGGTGAGGACGCAGGTGTCGCAGAACTGCTCCACGTGCTCGACTCGCGGCATGCTCCACATTGTCGAGCTGCTTCGAAGTTGAGGTGCCCAAAGCGCTCTGCCACCGCCAGGAGTTGTCGTCGCGGCGGGTTGCAAGACACACGGGCTGCGCCACCTGCACGTGGAAGACGTAAAGGCGGTTGGGTCCTCTGTTCACCTTGACGAGAAGGCGACGATGGCGATCCCAGATACGCAAGACCCCGTGCTCGATCTCCACGCGCGAGCCGTTCTCATCCAGCTGTCCCAGGCTGATGATGGAGTTCCTCAGCGCGGGGATGTAGTAGACACCGGTGAGCAGTCGATGCTCGCCGGTCTTGGCGGTGAAGACGACGGAGCCAACGCCCTTGATCTCCACGGCGAAGGCGTCCCCGAACTTGACGGAGCCTCGAACGCCGGAGTCGAGCTCGGAGAAGAACTCCCGCCGCCCGGTCATGTGGTGGGTGCGCCGGTGTCGAGGTACCACCCGTCGATCTTGTCGCCGCCGGACCCGTTGCCGAGAAAGACATGAGCCCGCGGCTCGTCAAGGTGGAGGAGCGCGGCAGCGGCCAGCGCGGGAGAGGAGTGCGGCTCGATGCCCCCGTGTATGAAGAACAGAGCCGGCTTGTCACCCTCTTGCGCTTGCGCGACGTGCGCCTGATCGTCGCGCTTCGCCTGCTGGCAATCCTTGGCCTAGTGGTCGAACCTCCCGCAGTTGTTGCAGGTGTTGTCGCGGGTAGCCTTGCGCTCGCCATCGACGCCACCAGGAGCACCACAACGCGCCTTGTCCTCTTGCGCGTCCGACGCTTGCGCTTGCTCGACGAACCCGAAGCTGAAGAACCCGAGGCCTCCCCTTCTTCCGCTCCCGCTGGTGGGCGAGCCACTGCTCCTCGGTGAAGAGAAGCTTGCCACCGATGGCGACCGGCTCTGAGGGAGGTAGCTGCTCGCGGTTGTCGACGGCCTTGAGGCGACCCGTCACCTCCTTGATCGACAGCTCGGAGAAGTCTAGCAACATCTCGATCGCGATGGCGACCTGCGAGTACTTCTTGGGGACGACGCTGAGGAACTTCTCGATAGCTCTCTCCTCGTCGATGTCGTTGTCACCATACTGCGCCAATTGTTGCATCAGGGTGTTGAGGCGGAGAGCAAAGTCATCGACGTCCTCACCCGGCTTGAAAGCCAGGTTCTCCCACTCCTGACGCAGCTTCTGAAGCGTGGACCTGCGGGCGCGGGCGCTGCCGATACGTGCCGCGGCAATGGCGTCCCAGACGTCCTTGGCGGTCCGATTGTTCGTGAGGGAGGAGTGCATCTCCGTCGGAACAGCAGCAAGAAGCGCCTCCAGTGCCCGTCGATCCTCATCGAAATCGGCGTCGCCGTACCGTACCGCATCCCACATGCGCCACGCCTGCATCTTCACCTTCATCACCATGTACCACTCGGTGTAATTGGTCTTGGCGAGCATGGGCCATCCGCCGCCGGCGTCCTTGACGACGGTCTGTACGATGGGAGGGAAGCTGGGCTGGCCACGGCGACCACGGCACCAGTCCGGGGAAGGGGAGGCGCGCTGCCTGTGAGGGCTCCACGTGCTAGCGTCCCGTCCGCTCAGGTCCCGCACCTCGCGCCGCTCCTCCCGCTCCAGCCAGGCGTTGGCGTCGCGTGCGGCCGCCCTTCGTCCCTGTCGAAATCGCGGCGTCGTCGTCGGCGGCCAGCGTCGCGTCGCGTCGCGGTCGTCAAGCGGTCACTACCCTCAAGTCCACACGTCGCCCAGGCCGCCGCGTCGAGCCGAGCCCGCTCGGCGTCCATGCAGAAGAAGCAGCCGCCGCCGCCGCCGCCGCTCACGATCCGACGCGCCCGCCCGGCGCCGTAGTCCTCTGCTCGCCGCCCGCTCGCGACGGAGCATGCCTTCTTCTTCTTCTGACCTCCCGCCTCCTCCTTTCTTTGCTGGTGGGCGGCTTTAGCCGCCGCGCCAAGAAGCAAGCTTTGCTGAGCAATGCGAGCCGCCCGCTCATTCTTCTTTGCTGCCGCTCGGCCGCCGCCTCCTCGCGCTGGGCTGCTGCTGCCTGCTGCACCAACACGATATCTTTGGAGGTGGTGGAACGGTTGGAGGAAGAGGATGAGGAGTGGAGAGATATGGCGACGGATTGGG